TTTATTATCTGTTTTCAGTTATTCTGTCTTTCTAGACTGTTATCTCCCTGATCAATTGTCTTTTAAACTCTGATCAATTGTCTGACTCTGGGCAAATCAATGACCTCATTTATAGAAATGGGAAAATACAGCACCTACCTCATAAGGGGGCTATAAGTTAAATAATGACAGGATACTTGGAAAGCACTAATATAGAGTCTCACAAGTAATAGCTCATTGAATAGCAACTCTTTTTCTTTTTAGAATCTGATTATTAGATGACTGCTCGAATAAATATACTGATAGTGCATGGTCTTAAATAACCACTGAATCAAATAACTGGGGAAACGTTTTTAGAGTTTAAAGAAAATGAAATGACACCCTTTTTCTCCCTGAGATCACTGTAAATACTCTTAAAGCACTTGGTGCAAAACTCAAGACTGCTGACAGGAATAACAGTATTATGAAAATATTTTTTGCATTTCACATAAAATAGAAAAGAGTAGCTATTATTTGTGCCTTACACCTACAGAACAGCAGTGTGAATGTCACCTTACTCAGAATGTTACCATGTTTAGAAACAGAGGCTTTGCTGATGTAATTAAGTTAAAGATCTCCAGATGAGATCATCCTGGATCATCCAGGTGGGCCCTAAATCCAATGACAAATGTCCTTATAAGAGACGGAGTTGAGTGAGGAAGTAAGTCTCAGGGATGTCACAGGAGGGCTGTGTTTTAGCTGAGGTGGAGATTCTAATACGTCCTGCAGAAGAACCTGTAGGCATATCCATACATCATATTACACAATGGAGCATTTATTTTATGAGTTTCTAGCTTATAATTTGAAATAAATTAGAAATTAAAAGTTTTAGTTTTCCAAAAAAAAAGAGTCAGAGGAAAAGACACAGAGACACAGAGAAGACCACGTGAAGGCAGAAGCAGAGTGTGGATCCATGCAGCCACAAAGAATGTTCGGAAGAGGCAAGGAAGGACCCTCCCTGAGAGCATTTGAGGGAGCGTGGCCCTGCCAACACCTCGACTTTGGACTTCTAGCCTCCAGAATTGAGAGAATACATTTCTGTTGTTTTCAGTCACCAAGTTTACATGATCTGTTACAGCAGCCCCTGAAAACACAAAGCCCCACTGCTTCTTTTCATCACTGGCAACTCCAGGAAGCCCCCCAAAGGAAGGCAGCAGGCTATACATACAAACTTATACCTACCTCAGGTAGAGGTAACCAGGCTTTAATGATTCAGAACCAAACACTGCAAATACTCCTGCTTCCTAAATTTCTTGGAGAAAAGGATGAGAAGAAGAGGGTTCCCACAGGCTCCACTGATGTGGGTCTGTCTGCTTCAGTTTCCACCTAAGTCGGTTTGCAAATATAATACTCCTTATGAGATTTGCAGAACCAATCAGAAAGGCAGAAGATACTGCACAAAGAAAAACTGACGGGTACAAATGCCCAAGCGAGATGGGAGTGTGGGAATAAGGCATGCAACCCTGCCCTTTACACTGGCAGAAGCCTTTTCATACCAACTGCCATAAAAACAGAGAAACGCAGATACATAAATATCTTCATATAAATCTTCACATATGCCTTGATCAGTTTTGATAATATATCCTCACATTTACTTATTTATTCAGAGATGGAGTCTTGCTCTGTCACCCAGGCTGGAGTGCAATGGCACAATCTTGGCTCACTGCAGCCTCCACCTCCTGGGTTCAAGCAATTCTCCTGCCTTAGCCTCCTGAGTAGCTGGGACTATAGACACACACCACCAAGCCTGGTTAATATTTATATTTTTAGTAGAGAAGGGGTTTCACCATGTTGGCCAGGCTGGTCTTGAACTCCTGACTTCAAGTGATCCACCAGTCTTGGCCTCCCACAGTGCTGGGATTACAGGCGTAAGCCATCGCGCCTGGCCCTCACATGTGCAAACAGGCACAAGCTGGTGCATTCCAAGGTCTGACAGGCATTGTTGATGTCTGCTGTTGGTTTCCGCCCACCACTCTAGAGCTAGGACATACATCCCACTATCTTCTAGACATATGACGGTACCTTATGTCTCAAATGCTCCACGTGCAGTAGCTATGAAACTAGCAAAATGAAACATTATCTAGAAAATAAATCCAAAGGGTATAAGAGAAAAATGAATCTGGCAACACAATGTCCTCCAACTTAAGAATATAAAGTATTCTACATCTCTGTTTAAAAGAGCCGCTCACTCCAGAGTATTCATAGAGCATTCTCTTCCCTTTGCCACTGTAAAATTAGATGAACATACGTTTGCAAGTTAACATTGAGTCGAAATTATGAAATGATTATCTAAGATCATGGAAAAGCTCAACAAAAGCTGCTTGCCTTTTCCCGGCCACCTCTTAGTAAGATGGTTTTTATCCCTGGCCTTAACTCACTGCCTACCTCAAACATGAATTTCTTGGATATAAAAGTTTCCCGGATTTTATTTCATTGTGTCCTCTCTTCAGAAATTCTGTGTTTGGAGAATGTGTTTTCAGAAGCAGCACCCTACTGATGAAAAAGAATAAACCTAGTTTCCTAACTTTGTGACCAAATGCTGCTCATATTGATGTCTAATAGTTCCTCAAATATTATTCCCACCTCTTAATTTTTAAACTGGGCCGGGCGCAGTGGTTCACACTTGTAATCCCAGCAATTTGGGAAGCCAAGGCAGGTGGATCACCTGACATCAGGAGTCAGAGACCAGCCTTGCCAACATGGTACAACTCTATCTGTACTCAAAATACAAAAAAATTTGCTGGGCATGGTGGCATGCACTTGCAATCCCAGCTACTTGGGAGGCTGAGGCGGGAGAATCATTCGAACTCCAGAGGTGGAAGATGCAGTGAGCTGACTCTAGCCATTGCACTCCAGCCTGGGCAGTAAGAACAAAACTAAATAAATAAATAATAAAAATGTTTATACTGAACATCAAGAAAACAGATTTCCCTAACATACTATTTCCCAGTCACAAATAATTAAGAATCCATTTATTCAACAAATATTTATTGAGAAGCTATTTTGTACCAGACATTAGTTGCAGGGGCTTTACGGCAATGGATGAAACAGAAAAAAGCCCTTCCTCATGCAACTTACATATTAGGGAGGAGAGGGGGAATACATAGGAAAAATAAATCCAATAAACAGTATGTTAATCATTGATAAGTGCACAGGGGCAAAGCAAAATGGGAGATAAGACTTGGTGTCATGTCTCCCATACACCCATATACCACCAATCTGAGCAACAATCTGCAAGTGTTACCCTTCTCCCTTCACTGTAGTGAGTCTTCATTTATTTGCTAACATCTTCTCCCACAGACATGTCTTAATTCAACTGCTGCTAGCCTTGTCTTCTAAGTGTTGTCACGTGCTGCTCATCACATTAAAATATCTTTCTTTTTTTTTTTGAAACGGAGTCTCACTCTCACCCCAGCTGGAGTGCAGTGGCATGATCTTGGCTCATTGCAACTTCCCCCTTCTGGATTCAAGCAACTCTCCCGCCTCGGCCTCCTGAGTAGCTGGGATTATAGGTACCCAGCACCACGCCTGGCTAATTTATTATTTATTTTTATTCTTATTTATGTATTTATTTATTTATTTTAGTAGAGATGGAGTTTCACCATGTTGGTCAGGCTGGTCTTGAACTCCAGACCTCAGATGATCCGCCCACCTCTGTCTCTCAAAGTGCTGGGATAACAGGTGTGAGCCACTGTACATGGCACATTAAAACATCTTTTGGGGAATAAATTTCTTTTTTAAAAAGACAAATTGGTGGGGGCAGAAAGACACTAACGTTTACTAAGCACCTATTACCAAGCAAGGCCAGCGGTAGACACCTTTGTATTCATTATCAGAGTTGATGTGTATATATCCCCATAAGGGAGATAACAAGATTCTCATTTTACAGAGGAAGAAATGGACACTCCAGGAACTTGCTTAAGGTCACACAGTAAGTAGCACAGCTGAAATCTGAACTTTGCTGCCCATATTTGTCTTACCTTCAAAATTCTCCACTTTGGGGATTCTTTTTCTTAACCCATCTTTTTCTTCGCTTATCACTAAGGATCATTCTTTCATACTGTCTTAGACGGAAGGAATTACTTCCCTCAATTACCTAAAAGCAGCCTCATCTCCTTTCTCTATAACCCTAGGGTTAAATTAGACTGCATTCAATTGAATGGAATAAAACCCTTATGAACTACACTGACCAGCAATTTTAAAATTAAAATAACCACTGACTGTCCCGATAACTGGCATCTTTTTTCTGTAGTCATCTTCCCTTTACTTATTTCTTTTGCAAAAGAACCTTAAGCCTAAATCTCAATCCAGGGGGATACCTAGGTGGTCCCTGGGATTCCGCATGGATTACGGAATATTATGAATAAAATGCAATGCACAATCCTGTAGATGATCAGCAGCGTAAACCAGTAAGATCCAGACGCTTTTCTTTAAGGGTGTTCTCTCCCCATTACCGCAGTAACAGTTTCCAGGTCGGAGGAACTGGAACGCGTGCAGTTAGAACACAGTCCCTGACAATGCAATAATCTCGGAACTTACTCCCCTTGCCTTGCTCGTCCTCTCCTGTGCACCGAGCAGCCGATGAATTTTTGAAAAATTACTGACAACGCACACAGTGATACTAATGAATTCTCTGCCGTCTCCGCGAGAGCCTGACTGGAAATTCTGAGTCAGAAGCCTTCGGAATGGAGCAGAAACGACAGACAGAGGCGGGAGGCCGACGCCCGTGTGCGGGTGCCGGGGTCCCGGCCGCTCCGCGCCGCACGCACAGCGAGGGTCTCGGCGGAACCCGCCCGCCGGCGCGCGGCACAAGGCGGCGCTCGGCCCCGGGCTCGGCCATGGCTGCTGCGCCCCGTGCGCCCCCCGTGCGCCCCCCGCCCCGTCGGGCCCGGCAGCCGCGGCCTCGCCCCCCACACGCCCGCCCCGGCCCCCGCTCCCGCTCCCGCCCCGGCCCCCGCTCCCGCTCCCGCTCCGGCCCCCGCCCCGGCCCGCGCCCCGCCCGGCCCGGGCTCCGCGTCCGCGCGGCCGCCTCACCACAGCTTCCTCTTGAGCGGCAGGAGGCTGCCGCGGTTGGAGGGGGTGACGCCGATGGCCATCTGCAGCACCGTCAGGTATTTCTGGTACTTCATCTTGTCCCCGCTCCGCTCGCGGGCAGGGCCCCGCCGCCGCCGCCGCCGCCGCAGACACAGCCCCTCCAGGCGCCGCATAGATCAGCTCTGGGCCATCCGCGGCCGCCACAGCTCCCGCCGTTCCCGCGCCCGCCGCTGCGGCCGTGCGTGGCCCGGGCTCCCGCTCCCTCCGCCGCCGCCGTCGCCGTGCGTGCCTGGCCGCTCCCGCCGCCGCCGCTGTGCGTGGCCCGCAGCTCCCGCCGCCGCCGCCCCTTCCACCCCTGCAGGCCGTGGCCCCCCGGCGCGCTCCGGCGGGCGGGTGCGGGTCTCGCGGGCGGCCGGGCTGGCGTGGCTCGGGCTCCGGAGTGTGGCCGGGCGAGGCGGGGCCCCCTGCGCACCCGCCGCCCTGCCCAGGCCCTGCGCCCCCGCGTGCTGCGGTGTTTTCAGGCGCCGGCAGGAGCTCCTTTTCAGCCGTTAGCACCCGAAGAGAATCCCAACACGCTTACAGCGCGGATTAAAAAAACAAAAACAAACAAAAACCTATTTCTTTGTAACCGTCAAGTTATGTGTTCTACCCCAAAGTGGTTGTTGACAATTTCCCACTGACATATAATGCATATTGCGGATACGGTAATTCTTCTGGACGCTGGAAATGACTGAACCGTGAAAAACTACCTTAATAATCAAAGGGAAAAATTAAGATTGTCCCACGAGTTTAAACAGTTTTTCTCAAAACATTCAAAGCAGTCCAGGCGCGGTGGCTCACGCCTGTAATCCCAGCAGTTTGGGAGGTCCAGGAGGGAGGATGGCGCAAGCCCAGGAGTTCCCAGACCAGCTCTGGGCAACACACTGAGACCCTGTCTCTACAAAATAAAAAAAATTAGCCAGGTGTGATGACGTGCACCTGTCGTCCCAGCTATTCAGGAGGCTGAGGTGGGAGGATCACTTGAGCCCGGGAAACCGAGGTTGCAGTGAGCCTACGTGGCATCGCGGCACTCCAGCCTGGGTTACACACCAAGTCTTTGTCTTGGCAAGAAACGGCAACGACAAAAGTACCATTCAAAACTCACTTAACTAATGGTTACAAATACACTGTATATGAAAATTTTTTAAATTACCAGTTTAAAACATTCACACATTGAGAGTTACTTTACCTCTTTGCGAAAATAAAACTTGTTAAGGGTGACTTGAACAGTGCTTGTCTTCTTCTAGTATAACTCTTACACACCAGGAGAACACCTTTTCTGTGCCTTGGCAAAACATCACATTGGATTACAGGCAGTATTTTATCCTTTGCACTTCCAATGCCGTGCAATGTCTCAGAGAGTTCCTTTAATGTAACATTTTTTTGTGGACCTCACTTCCTCCGGGAAGTCCTCATCCTTTTTGTCACAGCCACTTTTCTTATTTCAGTGTGCTTTGAGTAAGTTTCACTGATTGCATATCTAGAGTCTCTGGAAAGGCAGCACTCCCACAGTCGTCTGTTTCTTCTATAGTACTTTATTTGCATTCAATTCGAATTTCACTTCAATTCTATCTTCAACTTTTTTTTAATTTCTTTGTTGCACTTTCATCTTTGTTGACCAATTCCCTTTCAATTATCCATTTAAATACAATGCTGTGTGAGTTTAACACTTGGAGAAAAGGAAGCAACACAATTGCACACTTTGCTGTCAGTGCCTAAGCTAACATGTGCAATGACCCATCACTGACAGATTTTGAAAGAACTGCTGTGATTGGTCACTGGTTGTTGTGGCTGTCTATTGTTTACATAGGGATTTATGGACTAAAGAGCTAGAAGCAAAGATTGTGCTATATGTGCTTGTTCACAGCTAATATGCCATGATAACTGAAACTTGTTTTTTGTTTTTATTTTGTTTTATCACCTAGATAGTAGTCACCTTGAGACAGGCTCTCACTCTGTTGCCCAGGCTGGAGTGCAGTGGCACAATCGTGGCTGACCAGAGCCTCTCCTTCCCAGGCTCAAGCGATCTTTCTACCTGGGCCTCCCAAGTAGCTGGAACTACAGGTGCACACCACTAAGCCTGGCTAATTTTTGAATTTTTATTTTTGAAGAGACAGCATCTCACTCTGTTGCCCAGGCTGGTCTCAAACTCCTGGGCTCAAGCAATCCTCCCACCTCAGCCTCTCAAAGTGCTGTAATTATAGGCATGAGCCACCATGCCCCATCCAGGAACTAAAATTTTAACCATATTTTGAGGTACAGGTGTTCTTTAACTAAATGGCTGACATTGTCATAGCTGAACCCGCAAAGCAAGGGATGCCTATTTGCATATATGCATACTATATATAAGTGTGTATATATAGTATATATGAAGAGTATCGGTAATAAGCACCTATGCATCCACCAGGCAGAAATGTTACCCCCCTCCCTCCACAGTTTATCGCTCCTATACCTCTATTTAAACACTTCAGCTTCAAATTAATTAGCATATAAGATTAAAACAACACAATCTCCCTGGGGTTTGGGTTCCCAACATGATTTTACAGTCACTAAGGTAGGAAAGCAGATCTAACTATTTCACTTTCATTTATCCAGAAGATTTAGCTCTCACATAAAATGAGGAATTGGCAGGTTTTAGACACTTCAGATGTATACCCACCCCTGGGAGAAGACTTCCTTGGAGCAGAGCTTTTAAGAATATCAGAGCCTGTTCTTATATATTCACCATTTCAAATGTATGTTTGGCCTTTTGCCTTACCTTGTCATAATACTTGTAAGATATTTGATGAAAATACTACACTGTGCTCAAAGATTTAGACGCCTGGAGGCTCAGGGGCCTATTCAGGATAATGAGCAATAAGCATAAATCTGGGAGAAGCACTTCTAGAGTGATAGAAAACCTGCTTCTCCATAAAAGGGAGCACACTGGCAAAAATGGTTAAAACCAACTCCAGAAATTCACCAAACACTTACAACAATCCAAGGAGTATTTATTCAAGAAAAATTACTGAATCTTGGTGAGTACAGTGAGCTTTATGGCATTTTAATCTGCCCAATTCCCATCTCCTTCTCTCCAGCACTACAGTAGCCTAGTAAGCCAACAGTCTCACAACTACAGTAGCTTTGAAAACCATCCAGCAGCCACTGGACAGAGCAGAATGGGTTTAGATCATCTCAAAAGCCCCATGCTAAGTAAAATGTCATTATTTGACCCATCTGGAGGCACCTTGAAAAGTTCCATTCTTAGGGCTTGTCTTTATTTGACCTAGCTCAGAACTTGCTGTGTGCAAACAGCCCTGTCCCTAGTGCATTTGTTGAAAACAATCAGTAGCAACGGTTTAATGTCAGTTACCTGAGGTGGTGAAACTGTTTGGTACTAACAAGAGACTAACTGCAAAAGTTGAAAGGAAACATGGGAAGTCAGAGTCCATATAGTTCTTTGAAAATCTTTGACACAAACCTATGGATCCAAAATGTCATGTAAGACATGCATGTATATGCAGGACTGTGAACACATTCAGAAAACACCTGAGAGACTCTAATCTCTCACTTCTATCTGACCTTGAGTTTCAATGCAAGCAGAAAATAAAGGCTAAGGAAGAATTGTAAACTACCTACCAGCATACACACAGCCTCTCAGCAAAGGCTAGGGGATATATCAGTTCAAAGCATTTAAGAAAATATCTGTTCAATCATTAGCTGAGCTCTAAACTATCCAAGTAGAGACTTTAATGGCTGCACACAACAAAGGATACAGACTTTCTAGATTAGTCCAGCAAAGTCGCTAAACCAATAACAAAGCTCAGTGGAGAGGAGGGGATACGATTTCTAGAGTTGCCACATTACATTGTTCAAAATGTCCAAATTTCAACAAAAAAATTCACCACATGCAAAAAGCAAAATTATGGCCTATATCCAGGAAAGAGCAGTTAATAGAAACAATTCCTGAGGAATCCCAGGTATTGGGCTTACTGCTCTTACTGCTGCTGTAGCCCCCACCCCAGCTCCATTTGAAGTAGCCAATCAGGATCAGCTTAGATTGTGCTGTCTGACCCCAGCCAATAGGGACTGGACACAGCAGCAGGGACTGACTGCATTATGGATTAAAAACCCCTTCCCCACTTTTGTTCAGTATGCTGTCACAGTGACCCGAAGAACAAGCAGCACCCTTCTGCAGAAGCAAATTTATGTTGCTGAGAAATCCTTTGAGTGCTCATTTTCTTTGTGACTCTAAGCTCTTATTTCCAACAGTATCCTCTCTCACTTCAGTGAAAATGGAATTATATTCTCAGGAGAAAAACTAGAGAGTGGCATTAGGTACAATAGGGTGGGCTACGAGACTGAAAAGGAGAAGATTACAGGAAAGTTGTATGTGGAGTGATGAGATGCTAAACTCCTTTCTGTCACCCAGATCTAGAATGCTAGCAACCTCAGGCAAAGATTTACATAACTCCCCATGTGGACCATCACAATCTTTTGTTAAATCCATTTCATTGTTGTGTCTATTTAAACATTGTTTAGTATTGTGCTTTGATTATATTTTCCTGCCTTATACAATTTCTTATTTTACCTGGAGTTAATAATTGCCTTGTTTTCAACTTGTTTTCCTGAAACCCATGACTAAATGTTCCCACATTCACAACAGTAATGTCAAATGCCTGCAATACAGTTTTCCACACACTCAAACTAGTCTATCCATTTCATTTTTTCTTAGACTTAACCCCCTCGGAAGCCCCCCATCCTGCCTCTCCTCTCTGTACAGATGTGCGCTCCATGCTTGTGCCCAGTTCAGAAAGCGAGAGAGAGAGAGAGAGAGAGAGAGAGAGAGAGAGAACAGAGACAGAGTGACGGAGAGAAAGAAAAAGAGAGAGAGAGCTGTTTATTTTAAGGAATTGTCACATGTGATTATGGAGACTTGCTAAATACAAAACATGCAGGGTAGCTGTCAGGCTGGAGACCCAGAGAAGAGTTGTAGTTTGAGTCCAAAGACAGTCAGTCAGGGTCAGAAATTCTTTTTGCTCAGGAAAGGTTGGTTTTTATGCTATTAAGGTCTTCAACTGATTGGATAAGGCTCACTCCCATTATGGATGGTAATCTGGTTTACTCAAAATTTACCAATTAAATGTTAATTACATCTAAAATTTGCCTTCACAGAAACATTCAGAATAATGTCTGACCCCCCCGTGTAGATCTGAAAAACAAGGAATGAAGAGGAAAGAAAGTGGTAAATATATTGATAATATATTGATATATCTAAGCAAATACTGATTAATAAAATAATAATAACAATGTCTTAATGGGTTAAAAAGAATAATTACAATACATAGAATAATAATCTGTAAGTTGGGAATTAAGTAAAAAGAATTAAAGTGTTCTTTTTTTTTCTTTTTTTTTTTGAGATGGAGTTTCGCTCTTGTTACCCAGGCTGGAGTGCAATGGCACGATCTCGGCTCACCGCAACCTCCATCTCCCGGGTTCAGGCAATTCTCCTGCCTCAGCCTCCCGAGTAGCTGGGATTACAGGCACGTGCCACCATGCCCAGCTAATTTTTTGTATTTTTAGTAGAGACGGGGTTTCATCATGTTGACCAGGATGGTCTCGATCTCTTGACCTCGTGATCCTCCCACCTCGGCCTCCCAAAGTGCTGGGATTACAGGCTTGAGCCACCGCGCCTGGCCTAAAGTGTTCTTTCTTTCTTTTTTAAATAGATTTTTGCTCTTGTTGCCCAGGCTGGAGTGCAATGGCATGATCTTGGCTCACTGCAACCTCTGTCTCCTGGGTTCAAGTGATTCTCCTGCCTCAGCCTCCCAAGTAGCTGGGATTACAGGCAGCCACCACCACACCCAGCTAATATTTTGTATTTTTCGTAGGGATGGGGGTTCACCATGTTGGCCAGGCTGGTCTTGAACTCCTGACCTCAGGATGATCCACCCGCCTCAGCCTCTCAAAGTGCTGGGATTACAGGCATGATCTGCCATGCTTGCCTCAGTGTTCTTTTATCATGAGGAGAAAGTTAAGGAATCTGTTAACTTTATAGACTTTATTAAGCGAGCATATTACAATTTCTAAGGCAACTACTAAAATAAATGAACAGAATGCGTTGCTTTTAAACTATTTAAAAGAGAAAACATTGGAATGATTAAGATACTCAGTATATCCAAAATAAGATAAAAAAGGAAAAAAACCATGGAATGGGTGTATCAAATAGAAAGCACAAAATATGTTTGCATATTTAAACTCAAATACATATAAAATGTGAGTTGTGCCTTTAGGAATAGTGCAATGTCATAGCCTTAACAATGTAGTGTTAATTACATTTCATGTAAATAAATTAAATGCTCCAGTTAAAAGATTTTCAGACTTGATAAAGACAAATTCTATCTCCATGTTATTTATAAGAAACATGTTTTAAAGCCCGGTGGCTCACCCCTGTAATCCCAGCACTTTGGGAGGCCAAGGCGGGTGGATCACAAGGTCAAGAGATCGAGACCACCCTGGTCAACATGGTGAAACCCGATCTCTATCAAAAATACAAAAATTAGCTGGGCGTTTGGCACACACCTGTAGTCCCAGCTACTTGGGAGGCTGAGGCGGAAGAATCGCTTGAACCTGAGTGTCGGAGGTTGAAGCCAGGCAAGGCTGCGCCACTGTGCTCCAGCCTGGTAACAGAGCAAGACTCCGTCTAAAAAAAAAAAAGAAACATGTTTTAGAAATATAAGGATACAGAAAAGTTAAAAGTTAAAGGGTTATATAAGATATACCAAAAAAGTCTAAGCCAAAGAAAACTAGTGTAGCTATATTAAGAAAAATACAGTTTTAAAGAAAATAAAATTATAATTAAAAATCAGTGAAGACATAAAAGGTTTGAATAAGATAATACTATTAACATAGTGAGATCTCCACCTAACTACTGCAGAATATTATATATTTCAAATATACAGAACATTTATTATATACAAATGAACAAATAAAAGCAAGTCTCAATACATTTCAAAGGTTTAAAATCATACATTGTGTGTTCTTAGATTATAAGACAATTATGCTAGAAATCAGCAAAAATTTGAATGAGGAAAATTAATAAGTTAGAGATTAAAAGATAATCATGCTTCAAAACAAAATCATAAAAATATTAGAACATGTTTTGAACAGAATCATAACAAAGTATCACATATAAAAGTTATGACATAATTTCAATATAAGTATATTCAGAGAATCTGGAAATTAATTAAGTAAACATTCATCTCAAGAAGTTGGATATGCTTGAGCAAGAAAAAAACAATGAAGATAAAAGAAGTCTTTGAAATAGAAAGCAAATATATAATAGATTTGACAAAGCAAAAAGCTGCTTCATTGATTTTAACAAAATTAAAATATCTGTCAGGAATGATTTAAAAAAATTGAGAAGGCACAAATAATCAATATTTAGAAACGAAAAGGAGACACACTTAGGTATATTGTAGATATTTAAAAGATAGTACAAGATTAACAGGAACTTGAAAAATGTAGACAAAACAAGATAATATTTTAAGAAATACATAACCTACCAAAGTTTATTCAGGAAGAAATAGAAAATCTATAATAAGAAATAGGAAATCTTTCAATTATGGTGCCCATACATCCCATTTTGCCTGGGACAATCCTAGTTTATATCCATTATAGATTAATGTCCATTAATTATTTTCATAACCCCTTTAATTCTCAAAAGTGCTCCAGTTTGGAGGAAAAGCCATATGTTCATCCTGCCTATTTATAATAATTAAGAGTAACTAAATCCATAGTCCAAAATGTTCCTCCTAAAAGAATTCCAGGCCTAGATTTACCAACCAGTTCTACCAAACCTTCATGGAAAAAATAATTTCAATCTTAGCCAAACTCTTTCACAAAATAGAAAAAGAACTACTTCCCAAGTCTTAAGACTAGCATAACCTTATTACTAAAATGTGGCAAAGACAGTACCTGAAAAGAAGATTACAGGCAATCTCATTCATGAACACAGACACAAAACTTGTAATCCAAATATCTGCAAACTGAATTTAGCAGTTTCTAAAGGCAAAATACATTATGACCAAGTTGGCAATATCCCAGGAGTCCAAAGTTGGTTTTACATTAGAAATTACTAAGATAGGCTGGGCCTGGTGGCTTACACCTGTAATCCCAATGCTTTGGGAGGCTGAGGTGGGAGGACCACTTGAAGCCAGGAGTTTGAGACTAACTTGGGCAACATAGCGAGACTTCCTCTCTACAATAATAATAATAATTTTAAAAGCTGGATGCGATGGTGTGTGCCTATACTCCTAGCTACTCAGGAGACTGAGGTGAGAGGATTACTAGAGCCCAGGAGTTCGAGGCTGCAGTCAGCTGTGATTGTGCCACTGCACTCCGGCTTGGGCAACAGAGTGAGAACTTGTCTCAAAAAAAAAAAAATCAACTAAAATAATCCACCATGTTACCACATTACCACATTAGAGAAGAATATCATAACATCTTCTCAATAGAAATGGAAAAAAGCATTTGATAAAATTCAGCATACATTCATGATTTAAACCGTCTTACCAGAATGGGAATAAAAAGGAACTTTCTTGATAGTTATCTTCCAAAATCATACACATATTATTCTTTGGTGACGTTAGGTGGAGATCAGGACAAGACAAGCTTCCTGCTCTCATCGCCTCGATTTGACATTGTGATGGTGGTCCCAGCCAATCAGGTAAGAAAAGAGAAAGAAATGAATTGTGTAAGAACTAGAAAGGAAGAAACAAAACCATCATGATTAGTGACTGATATGCTTATGTAATTGACATTTTTAATTAAAACTGCAAGACTGGATTGGAAAAATGTGGCACATATACACCATGGAATATTATGCAGCAATCAGAAATGATGAGTTCGTGTCGTTTGTGGGGACATGGATGAATCTGGAAAACATCATCCTCAGCAAACTGACACAAGAACAGAAAATGAAACACCGCATATTCTCACTCATAGGTGGGTGATGAAAAATGAGAACACATGGACACAGAAAGGGGAGTACTAAACACTGGGGTCTATTGGGGGGAAAAGGGGAGGGCCAGTGGGAGGGGGAGGTGGGGAGGGATAGCCTGGGGAGAAATGCCAAATGTGGGTGAAGGGGAGAAGAGAAGCAAAGCACACTGCCATGTGTGTACCTACGCAACTGTCTTGCATGCTCTGCTCATGTACCCCAAAACCTATAATCCAATAAAAAATTAAAAAAAAAAAAAAAAAAAAGAAAAAAAAAATAAAACTGCATATGTTATTATTAGAATTAATGAGAGACAAGCAATTTTTCTGGATATGAAAAAATCAGAATTACATTTCTTTCCACCAGCATCCAAGCATTGGAAAATGGGATGAAAAGACAAATTTACGATAGCATCAAAGCATGTAACGTACATAGGAAGAAAATCTAACAAAAATGTTATGGAGGAAACAATAAACCTTTATTGAGAAAGACAGAAGAAAACGTAAGGGAGAAACATATAATAGTCCCCCCTCACCCACAGTGGGTACGTTCCAAGATCCCCAGTGGATGCCTGAAACTGCGAATAGCACTGAACCCTCTATATATTGTTTTCTCCTATACACACAAACCTGTAACAAAGTTTAATTTATAATTTAGGCACAGCAAGAGATTAAAAACAACAAATACTAAAATAAAACAATTACGGCAATATGTCAGCATTATTACCCTTGCGCTTCAGGGCCATTATTAAATAAAACAAAGGTTCTTTGAACACAGGCACTACACTACTGCAACAGTTGGCCTTGATAACTGAGATGGCCGCTAAATGACTGATGGGTGGGGGGCGGGTACAGCATGGATCCTCAGGACAAAGGGATGACTCATATTCTGGGCAATACAGAGCAGGACAGTATGAGATTTCATCCCCCCACTCAGAACAGTGCAGATTTAAAACCTATGCATTGTTTATCTCTGGAATTTTCCATTTAATATTTTGGGACTGTGGCTGAACAAAAGTGACAGAAACTGTGGAAAGCAGAACAGCGGATAAGGGGAGATGACGGTAATGTTTCTGGATTGGAAGATTCAATATCATAACCTTATCAAAATTTCCCAAATCAATCCATAGATTTAGTTCAAACACAACAGATACATAATTGTTTACGTTATTGAGCTTGGAAAACTGATTCTGACATTAATGTGGACTAATAGCTGAGACTTTTTTTTTTCTGAGATAGAGCCTTGCTCTGTTGCCCAGGCTGGAGTGCAGTGGCATGATCTCAGCTCACTGCAACATCCACCTCCTGGGTTCAAGCAATTCTCCTGCGTCAGTCTCCCGAGTAGTTGGGACTACAGGTGCACACCACCACCCCTAGCTAACTTTTGTATTTTTAGTAGAGATAGAGTTTCACCATGTTTTCCAGCCTGGTGTCGAATTCCTGACCTCAGGTGATCCTCCCACCTCGGCCTCCCAAAGTGCTGGGATTACAGGCATGAGCCACCATGCCCAGACAGCTGAGACATTCTTAAAGAAGAAAAGCAGGGTGAAAATACTTGCCCTGTACAATGCTGATTTCTTAATACATCATTAGAAGGATTAAGAAGGTATAGGGTTGGCTCAGGAATAGTCAAACAGACAAGTGATACAGAGAGAGAGCCCCAAAACACACCTGGACACATACGGACACTTGATATACAACGGAGTTGGCATTGCCAATAAATGATGAAAGAATGGCTTTTTTCATGAAAGGATGCTGAAACAATTGGAGTTTCTTATAAAATAATAAAATAAAAAATGGTCCTATACCTTACATTACACTCAAAAATCATTTATAGGTAAATTATATGTAAAAAAAACCTATAATGGGTTTAGAAGATAAGACAGCAGCTATCTTTAAGACTTGGGAATATGGAAATATCTCTTGAATATTACAGTAAACCATCTAGCCATAAAGTAAAAGATTAATAAATAAGACAACATTAAAACTTAGAGCTTCTCATCATCAAAAGACACAAGACTGGGAGAATATATTTGCAATAAATATAACTGATGAAGGATTCATCTCAAGAATATATATATATATATATATATATATTTGTTAATATAGTTTTAAAGATGCCTACTAATCAGTGAGAATAAGGCAGACGGCTCAGTAGAAACATGCACATAGGATTTGGATAGGCCACTCAATAAAGAGACATTCCAGATGTCTGATAAACATGTGAAAGGTGTTATCTTCATTTGCATTCACGGAAATGCACCTTGAAACAACAGCGAGGTACCCTTAACCCCATCAGGTTGGCTAAAATTATGAAATCTAAAATAAGTTTGGGAACTCAAATGCATTGCTAATGTGAACACAAATTGGTACGACAACTTTAGAAAACAGTATGACATTATGGCACAGTTGTCAATGTATTGCTTTTCGGCGCAAATTCACTCTTCAATACAAGTTTGAGATGATGAAATTTCTTTAATCATTTCTCCTAAAGTGAGCACAATGTTGAGCTTTCTCAGTAGAGGGCGCTAGGCAGGAGCTGCAGGAGGGAGGGGCGCTTCTGCAGTTTCTGGAGGAGGCTCAGTGGGTCAACAGTGCAGGTGGGAACCGGCCCTTCCACATGCGCAGGGTGCAAAGTCCCTCAGCGACCTCACAACCCCCGTGTCAGCTCAACAGGGTCACTGTGTTTCAGGTGCCCTCAGGCCTGCTGTACACTCACACACAGGCCACCAGCCTGCACTTTGGAGGGTTGTTTCCTGTTTTTTTCCACCACTGCAAACCAACAAATTTCGGACAGTTTTGGAGAGGGAGCCCCTTGCAAGTTTATTCTTCCTTGGGTAACTCTTTCTTGGCCCTAGGGCACTATGCAAGTTTTCGTATTTTTTATGGTTACTCCTTTATGCCAACTTAATAATTCTTTATATTAAACTCCCCCTTTGCAGGAGGACTTTATATTAAACTAAACCCGTTGTGTTTAAAATAATTGTGTGGTTTCTTTCTTCTGATTGGATCCACCCTGCTAAGTATTGAGGACGTGTCATACAATTCCACAGCAATTCCACTTCTAATTATCTTTTCTAGAGGAGCTTTTTGCACACGTGCATTCATTTACAGGAACCAAAACATTTACGGCAGCAATTTGCATAAAAGCCAGATTCTGAAAATAACTCAAACATTCATAAAGAGAGAACAGATAATGAAATTGTGTTACAGTCCTGCAGGGAAATGAAAATCAGTGAACTACAGCTAGACAGAACAAAATGGATGAATGTCACAGAACCAATGTTCAGTGAAAGATGCAAGTTACAAGTTGGTATTTACTAAATAATCCCATTGATTCCATTTAAACTTCAACTTGATGTGAAAGTAAACCACATTGTTTGGGTATACACACACACACACACACACACACACAGAGAGAGAGAGAGAGAGAGACAGATGGTAAAACTATAAAGAAAAGCAAGGAAATAAATATTTTAAAAGTTGGAATAATGGCTACCTTTTACTTTTGGGGTGCTCTCTTTGTCATCTGGATGTGGTTACATAGGTATTTGAATTACAATTCCTCTTTAACTTTTGCATATATGTTCTGCACATTCTATTAAAGTATTTGCAATTTTGTAAATTAATAACCACGACACGAAGACACAGTTCCTGCCGTTATGAAACTTGTGGGGAGAAAGAACAAAACAGAAAATGGGGAATCACGTAAATGAAGACGGAGAGAGCAGGATTATAATTCCATTATAATTCCTTCCTTCCTTCCTTCCTTCCTTCCTTCCTTCCTTCCTTCCTTCCTTCCTTCCTTCCTTCCTCCCTCCCTCCCTCCCTCCCTCCCTCCCTCCCTCCCTTCCTTCCTTCTTTTTTGAGACAAGGTCTTGCTCTGCCACCCTGGCTGGAGTACAGTGACACAAACATGGCTCACTGCATCTTTGACCTCCTGGGTTCAAACGATGCTCCCACCTCAGCCTCCTGAGTAGCTGGGACTACAGGGGTGTACCACCATACCTGGCCAATTTTTGTATTTTTTTGTAGAGATGGGTTTTTTGTCATGTTGCCCAGACTGGTCTCAAACTCCTAGGCTCAAGGGATCCACCTGCCTCAGCCTCCTAAAGTGCTGAGATTACAGGCATGAGCCACTGTGCCTGGCCTGCAATTCATTTTTTAAACAAATATCTTTGGACTGCAACCTGCTAGAATAGACCTTGGAACAATGAAATATGACAAATATTTTAAAAATGCATTGCCCAGCTGGCAAGAAATTATGGCGAATTCCCAGGGTGGACAACAAAAAGATAATCAACAAGCAGAGATATGCTGAGCTGACGCTGCAGTTGCCTTAGGGGCAACGATGATGTACTGGTCTCAGTAGCAAGGCAGCTTGGAACTTAATGGTCACCTGCTGTCCAGGCTAGGACCTGCTGTCCTAAAGGAAATGGGAAGGTGAACTGAGACCCTGGATAAAGCTATACTATGGAGACATGTTAGACTATAAAAAGAATTACAGATACAGGAAGATAAAAGAAAGCTTTCATGTTTTGGTTTGCACTCCAGTTAGAATAAAATCAGGGATATAATCCCAGCACTTTGGGAGGCTGAGGCAGGCAGATCACCTGAGGTCAGGAGTTCCAGACCAGCCTGGCAAACATGGTGAAATCCCATCTCTAATAAAAGTACAAAAAAGTCAGCTGGGCATGGTGGTGTGTGACTGTAATCCCAGCTACTTGG